CTGATAAATTAAATAACACCGAGCTTGGAACCGTGTAGTCCTTTCATGGCTGCCAGAAGGGTTATGCAGATACTTCACTATGGGGTAGCGCCAGTCGGCTTCGGCCGTGTCGATCTCGTCGGTGATATCGGCCGAAAACACTTGCGCTGTCATTCCTCGTTCGCCCAAGGCTGGCAAGGTACGCCTCTCGATTCTTATCACGCGATCATGGTCGGTGCTCCAGATGTTTACGCCAGACGCTACCTGGGCCATCTCATTGGCCTCGCCGTTTTCGGTGCGCGGTATATGAACAAATGAAATTCTAGAAAATCCATCGGTTAGTGCATCTGAAGTCGAGTTGGAATGCAAACTGCCATTTTTGCCCTTGGGGAGATTCAATCACCACTCCGGCTCCTGACCTGGCCTCAGTGCTGGAGCCGTCGAAGTGCATGGTCCAATGATTCTTTTCCATGTGGGCCATACCGATCTCGACCTCCAACTCCTCCTCTTGCCCCTGGGCCGGGTGATGAGCCAAGAAATCGGCCAACGCCTGACCCTTGACCGACTTTTGAGCCACATATTGAAAGGTAAATTCGAACAACGCCATTGTCCACTTCCCAACTTGGCCGCGTATGATTGGCCGGGTAAGCATATATTTGATGAGATCGGTCTTAGAGATGATTTGAACAACCGAAGGAAGCATATAATGCCGCAACTTGGTGGCCGCGAAATAAAGCGCTAGGCATAATTTTTCGATCGGCGAATAGTTCAATTCGGCCATGTTGAGGGTACGGCTTAGATAGTGCACTGCTTATTCGCGCCCAGACTCGTTGTTCTGAGCCAACAGACAGCCGATAGAGCCCTCTGAAGCCGAAATGTAAAGCCTCAATGGTTTCCCCCTTTTCGGTGGCATAAGGACCGGCGGTTGGGACAAATATTTCTTGATGTCGTCAAGGGCCGCCTGATGCTCTGCCCCCCATACGAACCGTTCCGTGTCTTTGAGTTTGAGCAAGGGAAACAACGGCCGAATTTTTCCCGCTAGATTGGATATGAAACGCCGTAAACCGAGATGATCATGCCTTAGCATTTCTTCTTTTGTCTTTAGGAAGGCGAAGTACCCTGGCGAAACGCTGCGTTTCAGTTTTTACGAACAAGTGCCAGGGCCGAGACAAGGGGCTCCTTCGGCCATCTTATGGCCATGATTTATCAGGCGCAAACATTGCCCCCACATCCCTGGATTCTTCGGCCTCGGCATGGGTAGGGGCCGAATGGATTCCAAGGGATGGACCCTTTGCATTCCTTTCTGAAGTGATTGACAACTGTGGCATTAAATGCGCGGGCCAGTTGGCGCATTTAATGCCTCAAGCACATCGTGTAGGCCATCATTGCCCAGGGCGTCGCTTCGCTTTGTCAGAGGAAGCGACGGCCTCTGGGCTTTTGAGCGTGCTGATAGAACGTTACGTCTCTCGATAGAGACACACTCTTTCGTTTCGAATTCTAGCGGCAATATAAAAACCCAGACTTCCTTGCTTTCTCCTTACGCTTTCAGAATCCTTAGACGCCCAAGCTTTGTCAAAAAACCCATTTCTCCAACCTTCAAAACCCATCAAACTTTCGCACCTCCAAGGTTACCAGAGAATCCCTCGTGAGCTCGCGATTTTCCAGAACCTACAGACCTTATTCCTTTTTTTTTGTAAGCTTTTCCTCTAGTGTTCTTCGCGTTCATTACCCTTTTTTCGCATTTCCCCTTTAAATACTCATCTTAAGCCTGCTCTAATGGCCTCCAATACCCCCACATCTGTTGAATTTCGGTCCCAAACCTTCCAAACTGAATTCGAGGCTATTTGTCGAGATATTCAGGGCTCGATCCTCCCTGACATCATCACGCCCTGGGCTGATGACGATGGTGCCCCCTCTGATTCCTGCGTTCTCGGCCCCTCCATTAATGGCGGAATGCCAGAGAGGCTTGTGGCCCATCTGAAGAACAATCTAGTGGATCTTTGGGCCTTTGACGGGGGAGACTTCCAGGACTGGAATGTCCTCAGGCCGCAGCAACAGTGGCCAACCGTGACCCCAGACTGGGAAAAATGGCTGCCGAGGATGGAGCATTTCTTCGGTTAGCAATGGAAAGATCAAGGCATCTACCACTTGATCAAGCTATTCGATCGGCCGCTCGTCATGGATCGGTCGCTCTTGGCCGCAGCCCTGTGCTTCTGGTCATAGGCCACCAACACCATGAACTTTCGGTTCGGCATGATGACGCCGACTGTTCTAGACATGGCCGCCCTGTTCGGCCTGTCCCCCCTCGGCGTGGAAGTAAACGCCGCCCTTGTTGCTCCCGAGGGGGAAGGGAGCTTTAAGGCTACGTGGCCTACTCTTGCGAGAGTTGCTGGGAGCAAGGCGAAGAACATGCTCAACTACTCCAGTTTCTACAGCAACTTCGGCGTAGAAGACATCGCTGAAGATGACGCCATTGCCCCTCTCGGCGAGGTTGAACACGCCGCGTTCTTGCTGTACTGGTTGTGCAAGTTCGTGTTTTGCACATAGGCGAAAAAGGTTACCTTGGAGTTCGCCCACCTGGCCGATTACCTAGCGCAGGGCGGTAGGTTAGCACTCGGCCCGTTCCTACTCGGCCATATCTACCGCACGCTTCATGACATCGTTACTGATGGGATGAAGCCGAAGCACGGTGGTCCACTGTGGGCCTTCCAGTTTTGGCTGCAGGCCTACTTCCCAGAGCTGAGGGGGGTGGTCACCCCC